CCCCTTGTCTCCGACTGTGGCCGTTTGCGCTTTCTCTCGATTCCGTTGCACTTGCGTTTTTCCTCCTGTCGTTCGCTTCTGGGCTTAAGTTCCTGTCTGCCTTTCGCTTTCGCTTCTCGCCTTCGTTGGCTCAGCTTTTGACTCCTGCTTATCCCCATTTGTTTCTCCACCATTCGCAACCCTCTCCACGTTCCCTTTGCCGTCCGGTGCCGGTTCTGTCTCCACTTAGTCCCTGCAGATACTCTTTCTTTTTTCACCGTGCTATCCTTATCCTCCTGTGTCTTCTCCTTCGTTCTTTCTTAATGATCAAGATGTCGTCGTACTCATGGTCGTGCGTTATCAACTGGGTGGGGTTTTTCCTCAGCCGATGAGTAGCTTCTCTTCGTTCTGGGTTTCGTTGTCCCTATTCCACTCGTCGGCTCCCTCTGCACATAGCTTCGCTGCCCAGAGCATTCTCTTCGAGAGTACTTCCTTTTCCGCACCCATTCCTTATCGATCTTCTCCTCTGACTCCCCCTTATGTTCTCCCTCCCCCCCTATTTTCTCCCTCCCCCCTATTTTCTCCCTCCCCCTGTTTTCTCCCTCCCCCTTATTTTCTCTCTCCTAACCGTCCTTTGCTCCTCTTTTTCACGGTCCACTCTCCCCCTCTTCACTGTTGGTGTGCTTTCTGGCTGGGCACGCTGCGTCCGCTTTAACATCCAGTTCTCTCTCTGCCTAGCCTGTGAACGTCTAGCATCCTGCCGTGCGCCAATTGATCTCCCGTTGTTTCATCACCCACTGCGCAATCTGGTTCTCATAGGTCTGCGAGCCCCTGTTGTTACGACATTGGTTTTGCTCTTCTACTCTCGCACGGCTATAGAATTCCCTTTGCTTGCCGTTTTTTTTTCTTTTTTTTTCGGAAAAGTGCTTGCCGTTTTCGCTCCTCCGTGTACGTAAATGGGATTTCTTCATTTTCGATGTACTTCATTGTATTTAATGTCCCCACGATTTCTTCATTTTCGATTTACTTCACCGTATGTATTTAATGTGCCCATCGTTCTGGTGTGTTTGGTTTGCTCTGATCAACTGTGGACTATTTGATTCTCGTTTTTTTTTTCTATGGAGGGTTATTGTCTTCCAATTTCTCTCCCTTTTCTTCTCTTTTGTTTTAATTTTGCTCACTCCCTAACTATTTTGTCATTATGTGCACGCTCCCTGTACTTCCTCCGATGTCTCTTCCTCCAGTCTGAATGCCCTCTTCTTGAGAGGTCATCCGCTACACCTAGCTGGATTTACCATCTCTTCTCGCTCTCGTTTCTATTCTCCCTGCGCCCGTCCTTATATGACGCGGATCCGTTTTGCTGTCCTCCTCGAAAGTGCATGATTCTTCTCCTCTCCCCCGAGGCAGTGGCTGAACGAGAAGTGGAGGGGGGAGGTTACCGGTACTTTGTTCTGTATGAGGGCACAGTCTGCTCATCAATTTTGATGACGTCTGCGATTTACTTGTCCTCTCTTCGTTTTTGATGCAACAGGACGGCAGAGAACAACGCAGATGACCATGTGTGTATGTACATATTGCGCTCTGATACTCTTGTGACAATATATACCCGATACATGGTGTGACGATATATATTTAACTTTGTGACAATATATAAATGTATGATGTATCTATCTATAGAAGGAGATCGTAGGCAAGCAAGATAATTAATTAGGCTTAAGGAGATGGTCTCCATATACCAACGGAGCATTGGTGAGGGAGCTCCCATGGAGGCATCTGGCCCAGATCTACGTTCAGGTTCCATGTATATTGTGAGTACTTCCTCAAGGACAAAAAGATCGGGGGAACAGCGATCTCAATTATTTATGTAATAATAATGGACTGACGTCAACAGATTATATAACTGCGTGCAAGAACAAAGGCAGAGTTGGGCCAGGATATACTCTATACCCCTCTTCCCATAACATAACTCTGTCATCGTGACTGTCGCAGACCGGATAAGACCGCCTGTATTCATTCATGATAAGGGCGGCTTGTGTTTGGGGGAGCACTGTAGCTCATGCAAATGATGACTCCGTCTGCACTCGAGGACGGCGCGGGTATTTCGCTACTGGATGGATGGATGTATGGATGGATGAAAAACGATAGCGGTAGCTATGGACGACTTGACGTGAAGGAAAGGTAGGAAGAGAACTGATGGCCACAGAGGAGGAAACAGAACGCAGCGCCAATAATAATTACAGCATGTTGTAATGTACCGCATTTTTTTGAAGTATTTCACATTGACTCTTGGATTGCTGTGTGTTGAGGACTACGGATATTTTACTCTTATCTGATTTGTCGCGTAGGGACATGATGATGATGATGATGATAATGCTGTTGATGATAATGATGTTGATGATTGATGATGTTGATGATAATGATGTTGATGATTGATGATGCTGATGATAATGATGTTGATGATTGATGATGTTGATGATTATGATGGGTGAGAAGAAGAAGAGGAAGAAGAAGAGCGCTCGAGCGAAGCGTTTGTGTCTGTGTAGATCGGCAGTCTGTCATCCATGTTTGACTCGCACTGTTTGGCGGGAACCTGTTTTTCGTTGTGTGGTTGGTGGTTTACCCGGTTTTGAATATCGACGGCGAGCCAGCAGTCGATGCTCAATACTTCGGCGACTGTGCTGGATCCTGGAAGTGCAGGAAGGACGTTCTCGTCATCTTTCGCAACGGCACAGGCTGCGTCGGCGAACCCGGGGTTCCATCATGGAGGTAACTGTTTTGAGTACTCCTGAACTCTTGCCCCCGTGTGCCGCCAGCCCGTCCTCGTCTTCCTCGTCGTCAACCCTGTCTTTTCTTAAGTGAAGAAATGGTGGTTATCATGCCCGGCCATTCCCTTGTCATCGTCCCCTGTTTGCATGTCGCACGCGGAGGGCGCTCGTTGGAGAGAGAGAGAGAGAGAGAGGGAGAGGAACGCAGTTTTTTAAAGTATAAAAAAGAGGGATGGAGAGAATAGGTGTTCTTGGCTGTGTTGTGTGTGTGTGTGTGTGTGTGAGAGAGAGAGAGAGAGAGAATCGGCCACTTGTGCACATGACATATCAATCGTGCGTTGATGTAAGTACGAGCATGGAGTATTTGCAAGGTGAGCAGAGGTGTAGAGAAGGCGGGATGTAAGGATGGGTTGTGTGTGTGTGTGTGTGTGTGTGAGAGAGAGAGAGAGAGAGAGAGAGAGAGAGAGAGAGAGAGAGAGAGAGAGAGAGAAGAGGCGGCTTTGTGCCCATGATATATCAGTCGTGCATTGATTGAAGTGCGAGCGTGTCGAGTGTTTGGAAAGGGGGCAGGTGTACAGAAGGCTGCATGTAAGGGTTGTTGGGCAGGTAGGAGTGTGATCTGTTTTTTTTTTTTTTTTTTTTTTTTGTGTGTGTGTGTGAGAGAGAGAGAGAGAGAGAGAGAGGCGATGGCGTTGTGGCCATGATATATCAGTCGTGCGTTGATTGAAGTGCGAGCGTGTCGAGTGTTTGTAAAGGGGGCAGAGGTGTACAGAAGGCTGCATGTAAGGAAGGGTTGTTGGGTAAGTAGGAGTGTGGTCTGTTTGTGTGTGTGTGCGAGATTGAGAGAGAGAGAGAGGGGGAGAGAGAGGCGGCGACTTTGTGCCCATGATATATCAGTCGTGCGTTGATTGAAGTGCGAGCGTGTCGAGTGTATGGAAAGGGGGCAGGTGTACAGAAGGCTCCATGTAAGGGTTGTTGGGTAGGTAGGAGTGTGATCTGTTTGTGTGTATGTGTGTGTGTGTGAGAGAGAGAGAGAGAGAGAGAGAGAGAGAGAGAGAGAGGCGATGGCGTTGTGGCCATGATATATCAGTCGTGCGTTGGTTGAAGTGCGGGCGTGTCGAGTGTTTGTAAAAGGGGCAGAGGTGTACAGAAGGCTGCATTTAAGGAAGCGTTTTTGGGTAGGTAGGAGTGTGATCTGTTTTTTTTTTTGTGTGTAAGAGAGAGAGAGAGAGATGAATGAAAGCGTTAAAGGAGAGGATGGACAGTGAGGGTACGCGATATTGCGCAGTTTGTGTGCGTGCGTGCACTGATCTGGTTGTAGTACGGTAATAATAACGCGGGCAGTGAGAATAGCGGGGGGTAGATGGTCGAGGTAGTCGTGTGTTGGAAGTTTACTAACGCTGTGTTTTGCATGGTGTGTCGGCTGTGTTTTTTGGCATTGGCAGGGAATATCCCGTCGTTGCACAATGTACAAAACAGCTACAATCTCCAGAACATGCAGAACGCGTTATCATCGAGGAACGCGGGAATGGGAGGTGTCCCTTCGAGCACACCACAGCAACAGGCAGGAAGCATCGCGGCTGGTCGGTTTGCGTCGGCCAACCTGCCAGGAGCCTTGCCTCAGGTATTAAGGCAGGTGTGGCGTCTCTTCAATTTTCCTTCTTCTCAGAATTCTCTACGCGCTTCCTCTATTTTCTTTTTGATATTTTGAAATGGGAGCCCTATTTCGCGATCTTTTCCTCAGAACTGTCGTCCCGCCCCATCTCTTTTCCTTCCCGTCCTGTGCGGTAGCGGTCTGGCTTATCACATCCATCCATGAATTTCGTCGTTTCCTTTGTTGGATGATGTCTGTCTGGCGATGCATATGTGAATCGTACTGACGGGGTAACGTTGTCTGTCCTATCAGTACGTATCCAGTACTTGGGTTTGGTGTTGTCTTTGCGTTTTATGAATGCTTTCTAGTGTGTTCGTTGCGTTTTATGAATGCTTTCTAGTGTGTTCGTGCGTGTTCGTCCGTGTGCTCGGTGTGTGTATGTGTGGGTGTATGTGTGTGTGTGTGTATGTGTGCGTGTATGTGTACATGTATGTGTGTGTATGTGTGTGTGTGTGTGTGAGAGAGAGAGAGAGAGAGCAGTGGGAGTGGTATAAACATTGCCACAGGATTGCCGTGCTGTTGCGAGCCAATGCAAGTAGCCAACAAATTGTTTACACCGTATATCTCGCACTGGTCAGATGTCGGGTTCTCTTTTCGGGGATGCTCAGCTAGAGTTAGTTTTTCCTGTATGCTCTACCCTCCTCTATTTTATGCATCGTGCACTTGCGCTTCTTGATGTCTCCGTCTTGATCTGGATCAGCTAGCCATTCATGCTGTGAGCTTCCTCTCTCATCTTTTCTGTGTCCCAGAATCCTCTCTCTCTCCCCCTCATACTGCGAATGTTCTCCTTGTCCTATTCCTTGAGGGCTTCTTCTTTGTCTTTCTACGCTGTGCCAAGTCCTTATGTTTGTCAACGCCCGGCTCTGTCTGGTGGAATCGAGGTAAACTGGGATAATTCCACAATTTCACGTTGACAGGAGTCTGGTATGGATCGAGGAGCCCTTTCGGGCTACCATAGAGCCTGCAGCCAGCCTGCAGCCGGCAAAGGTCTTATCCTTTACCATAGCCCTGCGGTCAAGGTATGGGAATTTGGGGCCTCAGACGGTTATAGGGTAGGATAGGCTTTGTTGCAAGTGTTACGCTGCCAAAAGATGAAAGCAGCGAGGAACTTGGGTGAGGAGATGCATCGCGTCACCCACCCCACGGGCTGTTTTGAAAACACCAAGGTTGTACAAGGTTATAAATTCTCAGGGGCTGGCATGAAAATCCTTAACGGGAAGAAGACTTGGAAGACATGGACTGCTGGTGCGAAATGGAAGATTACAGAGTGAAGAAGAGGGCAGGGCTTCTGTGGGTATCGAAATAGAGGGTACAACTGAAGAGGAGGTGATATTTCTGTTGGTTGTCAGCCTGGCAAAAAGGATATAAAATGAAGAGGTGTGATTTTGGTGGTTATCAGCCTAACTATCAATATAAGCAGCGAGGTAGTCGGTGATCCAGTGCGAAAAAGGGTTCATTGTGGATGAAGAGGGTAAGATGGAGGTGTGGCAGGAAGGTGGGAGCGCCGTGGTACATACGCTCAAGGATCGGTATAGGAAGTGCAAGCGGGCCAGTTTCTGATTCGACCTGTGGGATGGGATGATGAGCTGGTGGAGTGCCCACCAAGCCGCTTCATTGGGTGGTTACAGGAATGGCTACAAGACCCCTGACAGAGTCATGCACGGTCACAGGATAAGCACAAGTGCAAAGAACTAAGAAATGGGGAGATAACGGAGATGCATACATGACGTGCTGTTATGGTATAATCCGAACGTGTACAACTGCATGCAAGTTTTGGAACTGGCTAGCACATGGCTGAGGTAGGCGGTTGCGTGCTGCTGCAGAAGTGCTTATTCATTGCAGACTCGTATGAACAGTGGAAGGGACGGAGGCCTCGTCCTCGTTTTTTACATTTATCTCGATATGGAGAGGAGGCTTTTTAGATGTCCCTCTCTCTCTCTCTCACCCTCCATTTTTGTCTATTAGAGCTATGTATGCCTGGGTAATAGCAAGTGTGCATCTGTGCCCGTGCGTCAGGGCATTTTGTTTGCGCGCTTGCTCACACGTTTGTGTGTGTGTGTGTGTGTGTGGGAGGGGAGAGAGAGAGAGAGGTGGCGAGTTGAGATGATGTATTGGATGGCAGGGACTTGAAAACCATTGTGCGGCAGAGGTCTTTTTCTTTGCAGTTTGGCAGAAAATGATAATGACCTCAGTGACACCGAACAAATAGATCTGGAAATTCACAGACATTTGCTTGCACATGCAGAGGTGCAGACCAAGCTGGGTTGTAGGTGGTGGTTTAGCTACTGCTACACTGGAAGCCCAGCCGCTGAGCATGACATTTGTCATCCTCCTGAATATTAGGAGGCTCTGCATGAGCCATCACTTTCGAATTAAATAAATCCTGTGTTTTTTTTTTGTTCTAATGGATTTTTTGCTGTGGCCACCTTCTGACAGGGCACACCACTGTAGGGTAGCGGTCCTCTAACCGCCTTTCTGGTGCTGCTGCCCTACAGTGTGGTACACTGTTGTAGGGTGTGTGCAAGTCACTTCCAGCGTCGTGTGCCTGTGCTTATCCTTGGTATAGGGACAACCAAACAAAATCGAATGGTCAGAACTTGTTGTCCAGACAAAAATGTATGGAAGTTTACGTTTGGCAATTGTGCATTTTCAGATTGCTGCAACAACTGAATTGGTTGTGGTTTGGGAAAGTCAAGGCTTAAACCACCAGTACACGTGAGCCTCTTTTTTTGGGAGGCGGATCCCGTCTGCGCGCCAAGCTTTGCTGAAATGCGACCGTGGTGCTTTTTCTTTTCTTTTGGCTGCCACTGCCAGCCATTTCGGTCCGTTAGCCCTGTGCCTCGTAGAGTTTTGGATTGGCTCGATTTCAATTCTCAAGTTTGCCCGGGCGATGTGGTGGCGTTTTAAAACTCAGATATGACTAGCATGGTAGGGGGACTCTCTTATTCATAAGGCTGGTCCGGTAACCGTGAGCCTCATAAATTTTGGGATTGGCTTGATTTCAATTCTCAAGGTTGCCTGGGCGATGTGGTGACGGTTTAAAATCTAGAAATGACTTGCGTGGTAGGGGGACTCTCACATTCATAAGGTTGTCAGGTGCGCTCTGGCTTGCAGACGTTATTCATGAGGTTGTCAGTTTCTGTTCTACAGAATTGCAAATGAAAATTCATACACTGAAGGAAACAACAGAGGTAAAGGATTTTAGCCAAAGAAATAGATCCCCGGAATGAGTTTGTCATTCCAGGTGTCTTTTACGTAAAGAGCGTCAGAATGTCTCGACTGGAAGGGTACTGAAGGGTACTAAAGTGTAGTGGCCGGAGGAGCATGATAGTCTCTTGACTGAAGGTACCAGTGAAACAGTTGAGAATACCAGCATCGCCATTTCTTTGTGCAAATGGTGGTTTTTAATCTCCTGTCAATCGCCTGATCCTCAAAGCCAGGGACTCTTGTAAGTAGTTTCTGCGTGTCCTTGGTCTGTAGCTTGATGTCTGCACTTTCTTTGGATAACGTTCCTGCCACATCAGGTTGAGATATGGCTTTGTGTGCAGCAGGTTCCGATCCACTACACCCGGATCGAAGGGGTGCTTGTGATATGTCTCTCAGGGTGACAGTCGCTGATTCTGGCTGTGTTATTGTGCTGGGTTACTTGTGTATATGCAGATGTCACACACGGGACTCCATGGACACAGTGCGATGGGGACACGGGGCGGCTTGAATGTAGTTGGGAGTCATGGGTTTAGCAGTAGCATGAATGGGATTGGAGCAGGACCTGGAGTGAATGTACCAGGTGCTGCGAGCAATGCTGTTGGGAATCCTCGGGCAGGATTGGCAGCGGCGGCAGCAGCAGCAGCAGCAAGCTTGGGTGTAAATCCATCTCAGATGGGTGGTGGTGGCCGGCTGAGCAGTGGAGGTAATGCAGCTCTGGGTGGTGGGAGTGGCGTTAGTTTAGGGGGGGGGGGCGCTGGAGGGGGATTAAACCGGTCTCTTAACAGTGGAGGCGGACTTAACATTGCAACTCTAAATGGCAATCGGGGAATTGGCAGTGTGGGTTTGGGGGCACTGAGTGGGAATAATGGAATGAGTGCACAAGGACCTGGTCGGCCGATTCCAGGGGGAGTAGGTATGCTTCAGCAGAGTGTTAGCATGCCATCAAGTTACAATCCTCAGGGGGACCTGCTGGCAATGATTAGCAGAGGTACAGTCTTTGCATTTCTATCGTTTGGACTACCCTCCTCCCAAATCGGTGTCATTGTGCCCATCTGCCTTGCTGTTCTCCCTTGTGCTGTCTCCCTTCTGATTAATGCATGTACATTGTAGTCTCTTTGTTGGTCATAAAGGAAAGAACAGTTTGCTGAATGGTGCTGCTGCTGTCTGCATGCTTTGGTGCACATGTTGTTTGTTGCTCGGTCTTTTAGTTCTCTGGAACTCGCCGCGATCGTGCACTTGCATCCAGTGTGCACGACTGCATTTCACTGCGTAGTAGATGTTGATGGAGGGACATGACGTCGCGCTCTTTTCTTTAGCGCTCTTTCTTCAGTGCTCTTTCTTTTTCTGATGTATATGGGTGTGAGGTGGTAAATATGAAACCAGCTTGGAGGAAGTCCTTGAGGCTATTAGCTGTGCCCTGACGAGCACTACATCTCAATGCTGTGGAGGGCATTGGTGTGCATCATTTGCTTGCTGCAACCTGCAACGCTCATTGGATTGCATGCAATGAAAAACTGGGTTGTGCCAGCCAGTGGCCGGTGTGCATTTCAGGTCATTCTAGGACTCGGTTGCTTGGAGCTTTGTCTGTGACTGCAATGGCATTGGCATTATCAGGGGTATCGCCATCTCTAGAATTGCTTGATGATGCTGGTCGATTACTCCTTATGAGTGATTCTCAGGATCCCTGTCTGCCTATCATTATGACGAAGGTGTTCACCGAATGCAGGGTATGGCATTTGTGATAAATCAGAAGCACGGCAATGGTGAAACGTTGGGAGTTTGCCAAGAACAGGAGTCTTTGCGAGAGTAATGCACAGGAGTTGAGAAAGTTGCGGCGAAAGAAGGGAGGACAACAACAAACCCGAAACAATGGAAAATCAAAGGTAGAAAGGGTGAAAAGTTGATGCTCCCATGAACGGACAAGGAGCCAGTGCCATAAGGACCTGTGTTATCCAAAAACAAGAAAAATGTTGATGCAAGAACGATGGCCCAAAAAAGTGAAAATTAAAGATGAAGGGAAAAGGAAGAAAGCAAAAATGCAAAACAAAGAATGCCCCAGCAAAGGTCAAGTGTAGAGATAGCGAAGGGATCACAAGGGGGCAAAGGGCAAGTTCAGACTCGTAACAACTGCGTGGGTAATGGGAGAGAAATGTCAAAGGTATGCAGAGTCTGCAAGTCACGCAAGCCCCTTTCATCATGGGTCTATAACTGTTTTCATTCCCTTCACCATGCAATCAATCCTTCTTCCTTCCCAGAGGTGATCGTGCAGTTTTGTTCTGTTATCTTTTCTTCTACACTAAGCCACTCTGCAAAATCAATCCTTCTTCCTTCCCAGAGGTGATCGTGCAGTTTTGTCCTGTTATCTTTTCTTCTACACTAAGCCGCTCTGCAAATCACACAAGCCCCTCTCATCATGGGTCTACAACTGTTTTGAGTCCCTTCATCGCGCAATTGAAGTTGTGCTATGAATCTTTTTTCCTTCGCAGCGGTGGTTGGGAACTCATGTTCTGTCTAACTTTTTTCCACATTCGTGGTTCTGTCTTTTCTTGGAATGGAGTTTTTGATTCTCGACCAATGTCGGTTGTGACTCTCAGCAGGTGCACTCCGGAAGCCTGCTGCTGTAAATGCTATCGTGCAGCAGAATCAGGAGTTCAGCATCCAGAATGAGGATTTTCCAGCTTTGCCGGGGTTCAAGGGTAAGTTGTCGCCAGGATCACACTTCGATGAACTGTTGCTGGAGTTCCACCAATTGGCTAGCTCAGGTTGGACAGCCATGAACTGTTGAAATACAGACCTGAGATAGAGTCCAGATGGAATCCCCACCCCAAAAAGGGGTAATTTGTCATCCGGATCACACTTGCAAACCGTCTGATTGCCTCTATAAGTATTGGACGGTAGGATTTATGTTCTGGTAGTACAAGTCGCTTGTTTGGCAAGGTGTCGATCTTCTTCCTCCATCCCCTTCGACAGAGTACTCTGCCTGCCTGTATGGTCCCAGATCCAATCGTTCCTTGAGATTCTGTCGAACTCGGGTTATGATGTTCATCGAAGTTACCTGTCGAACCAAGTCTGGCACTGGACTTGGAAGCCAGCATCGGCATTTGGATAAAATTAAACCGGATTTCTGGGACAGAGTGAGAGCTCCATAGACCCTGTGGCCTCTGCAAAAAGTGAAAAGCCGATTGGCGCTTATGGGAGTGTACATGCCTGCGTGACATTCAGAAGCAAGTCCATGTGAATGTTACTTCAGTACAAGGGCTGTGGTGTAGATGTAAAGGTACCTGGCCTTGGAAACTATGCAAGCGTGCTCGCCATAGTTCACACTGATGATTCCCTCGACGAGGAAGGAGCCTCAGTGACTACAAGCAAACTTTTGCCGACTTGCAGATGGCTGCATGACCTCCAGAATCAAGTCCATGTGAATGTTACTTCAGTACAAGGGCCGCGGTGTAGATGTAAAGGTACCTGCCCTTGGAAAATATTCAAGTGTGGACTTTCATTGGTCAATCAGCAGGCTCGCCATAGCTCACACTGATGACTCACTCGACGAGGAAGGAGCCTCAGAGGCTACAAGCGAAGCAACTTTTGCCGCCTTGCATGCTGCGTGGCAAAAGTGCAATGTAGCGTAAGCTGGCAGGAAAGTTGAAGATATAGTCCATACCCGTAGGGGCTGCATTGTCATTTGCATTGTTCCAATGTCCCACTGGGAAAATCCTGACCGTTTTTGTTCTGGAGTGATCTCCAGAAGTGCCAACGAGAAAATGTGGGTCATCGAACTGCTATGACCCTGGCAGCATCTTCAGTTGCAATGGTTTATGCTTCCTGCTAGATTTGCAAAGGCGAATGTACTGTGATTGCCAGGGTGGATTCTGTCATGCGAAATTATCTCATTCGAGTTTTCTACTGCTGTCTTCGAATTTGCAGGTGGAGCGACTGACTTGACAGCTGACATGCATCACAAAGACCAGCAGACACATCAGCAGCAGCAGCAACAGCAGTCCCAGCAGCAACAGCAGTCCCAGCAGCAACAGCAGCAGCAGTCTCGGCAGCAGCAGCAACAGCAGCAGCAGCATGAGAATGCCCTCTCTGCCATGCAATCGCAGCACTTTCCGGTAAGGCCCTGAATCATATGTGCATGCAGTTGGCAGTGTCTATGCACTGGAAAACAATGTACTGTATTCCCCATCTGACCGTGTGCCAAATCCAAAAGGATATGCATGCTTACGTGCAGAGACACTGCTTCACTGCCCGTTGTTACCTGATCAAGCATGGTTTATGGAGTTCTTCTGCATGCCATTGTTGTGATGGTTGGTCAAATGCCTGGGGTCAAGGTCGATGCAAAGGGGGGAGGGTCACACTACTTTTGGAGGGGTTTATAGAAAACTTCTTTCAGCTTGGTATGTTTCCGCCATTGAGCTGAAAAGTATGTTCACGTAATTGGTCCATGCTTTGTGAACAACGCAACCTTCCCTTGTCGTTGCTCTTCCCAAAACCCGTGTCCATAGTTTCTCCTTTTGGCATCATTAGATAACGAAGTCTTTTGTGGCTAAGGTCGTTGTTTTCTGTTTGCGTAGCTTTATAACCATTGTCGTTCAGTTTGCAGTGCTCTTCTCGTTTTCATCCCTACATCCCTACACTTAAAAAAATTGCGAACGTGAGAAATCTGCCATCCGGGCCATCCGCAGTCCTATCGGCCCGACGGTTTCGCGATCTTAAGATCGTGCGAAGATCCAGGCTGTCCACGGTCCTATGGGCCTGACGGTTCAGATCGTTGCACAATCTTAAGACCTTAAGATTGGACAACGATTCAGGCCGTCCGATGCCTGGATCATCGCCTGATCTTAAACCACCAGTACCTTACGAAGCACTTCTCCGAGCCTTTTTTTTTTTGAGCTACCGACCCGCTTTGTTGTAGTAGGAGGCAACTGGAGAAAAGCAGTCCTACAATGGGCTACTGGTCCTTACAATGTCGAGGGACCGGTACTTCTAATGAGAGGTTTTTTGTTTTATTTTTTCTTCCCGTCTTCTTTGCTTTCTTTTTTTTTCCTTATTTTTTTATCCCTCTTTTTTATGCCCTGAGTGAAATCGTCCCTGAGAACACGTAAAAGGAGGAAGGAAACAAAAGGAAAGAAAAAAAAGAAAACATTCAAAACAGACATGTGGCCGTGATCGTGGTTAGATACATTCGGGGAAGCACGGGTGAGTATGCCCTCAATGAGGGCCATCCTTGAGAATAAACGGGGTTTACGCTCTGCCTTGCTGGCAGAGCCCAAAAAAAAAAAAGAAAAAAAAAGAAGTGATTTGGCTGTGATAGTGCTCAGGTACATTCTGTACAGCACTAGTGTGAGCGTGCCCTCAGCAAGGCCTACCCCGACATCCAGTCGGAAGTACTACGTTGGAGGAAAGAAAAAAAAGAAGAGAAAAAAGAAGCAAAGATTTGGCCGTTATCGTGGTCAGATACATTCCGAAAGTACTAGTGAGTGTACGCCGTCAGTGAGGGCCATCCGTGAGAATGAACGCGGATTACGCTCTGCGCTGCTGGCAGAGCCCAAAAGAAAAGACAAAAAAAAAAAGGATTTGGCAAGAAGCAAACGAAGAAAAGAAAGAAGCAAAGATTTGGCCGTGATCGCGGTCAGATACATTCGGGTAAATACTGATGAGAGCATGCTGTCAGTGAGGGCCGTGGAATACTCCTGCCTTGCTGGCAGGGCACAAAAAGAAAAGAAAAGAAAAACGGCTGAAGTTTTATTATTTTTCTTCTCTTTTTCTTTCCTTTTTTTTTTGCTGCTGTGCTCTGTGGTCGTCCGTGCCGGGCCTGCAAAGGTCTTCCATGAATTCAGGAAGGCTTCTTTTTTTGCCTGGGCGGGGTACTGGTGGTTTAAAGTCTTAAGATTGCGCGACAATCTGAACTGTCGGGCTTGTAGGACCGTGGACGGGCGGCTTGGTACCTGTTGGGAATTGGTCCGCTGCAGGGCGCGCCCTCGCGCTCGAGTCCAACCACCTCCACTCCGCCGCCACCTCCCACCTTCTGTCGACTCTGCTGCCACCTCCCACCTTCCGCCTCCGCCCACCTCCCTTCCGCCTTCTCCAGCCATCTTCCCTCTGCCACCGCCCACCTCTTCCTCTCCGCTTCTGCCCACCATCTCCTCTCCCGCGCTGACCACCTTCTCCGCATGGGGTCCACCTCGCCTCTGCCTCCGCCCATCCCCCCTCCTCCCACCTCCCCTCCGCCTCCTCTCGCCATCTCCTCTCTGCCTTCGCCCACCTCCCCTCTGCCACCGCCCACCATCTCCTCCCCGCCTCGCCCCCACCTCTTCTCCGCTCGGGGGCCACCTTGCCTCCGCCTCCGCCTGCCGGTCCCCTCCCCTCTGCCTCCCCCCAACCCTTGGGATTCCTTTGCCACTTCTCCCTCGGCATTTCCCCGCCAGTTCTCCTCCGGCTCCGCTCACATATGCTTCCTTCTCCGCCTATGCTCATCTCCACCCACCTCACCTCCGTCCACCTCACCTCAACTCCGTCCACCTCACCTCGGTCCACCTCACCTCAGCCACTGCCCACCTCACCTCTGCTCACCTCATCTTGGCCTCCGTCAACCTGACTGCCGCATCTGCCCACGTGGCCTTGCCCTCAGTCGAGATGTGCACTTCTGCGGTGTGCCATGCGCCATGCGGAAATTAGTGATGCGCTCTTTTTTTTGTAGGTGTGTGTGTGTGTATACAGGGGAGAGAGAGAGAGAGAGAGAGAGAGAGAGAGAGAGAGCAACGAATGCCCTTCACACTTATCAGAGGGCCCATGCAGGTAATCTGAAGGGACCTCGCAGCAATTTAGCTCAGACCCTCCACCAAAATTGAGGCAGGCAGTGAATATGAAGTGGAGCACGAGGTGGCTGAATATACACAGGTTTCAAATTCAGGTCTGCGTTTCAGCAGTTATGGGTCGCTCACTTAACTAGGCCCTGTTGGTCTCTGCACGTGATGCTCAGGACTTGGCTGCACTGCTCACCAGACGTTCAAAATTAGAATGAATCTTCTGGTAGAACGTGGAATAATACGCCGCCATGTGTTTTGTCTTTTGTACATGTGGTGAGTAGACCCTTATGGCCACTGCACGTATTCCTAAGAAAATGAAAATGAGAAAAAAGAGAACTACTGACCCATAACCATGATGCACAGACCTGAATTCGAATCCAGACTACATATTCTCGTCCCACCCACACAAACTGGAAGTCTAAAGTCTCTCTGCTCCACATGGGGTCCTCGCTAATTTGCTGTAGGGGCCCTTCGGAAAAGAGACTGGACACCATTAGGACATGCACATCCCCATGAACAGACATGTGCCCAGAGTTTTGGGGTATGGCACGACCCCGACTGTTTTCCCTCTTGCTTTCTGATTTTTAGAAGTGAGGGGCATGTTTGGCCACCCCAACCTGTCCTTTCATTTTTTTTTTTTTTTTTGTGTGATGCGCCGCATCCCGTGCATGCACGTGCACTCTGCGCCGCATGTTCTGCAACCCCACGCACAGGATGCGCCGCACCGTGTATTCCCCCGATTTTCAGTTCGTATATGCGCGTGCGAGAGGGAGAGAGAGCGAAGGGTCGGGTGCGGGTTCAGGCAAAGTTGGAGGGGCAGGAGGGTAGATACGTGCCACATGGTGTGATCTTTTTTTTTTTTTTTTTCCCTCCCGTTCTTTTTGTGTACGTGTGTGTGTGTGTGTGTGTGTGTGAGAGAGAGAGAGAGAGAGAGAGAGAGAGAGAGAGAAGCGCAAGGGTAAGGAGAAGTAGGGTGGTGCGGATTATAAAGATGCCCTTTATGGGTTGATCTCTTCTTTTGCTTTTTTTTCCGGTTCTCTGGGTGCGTTTGTTTGTTTGTGTGTGTGTGTGTGTGTGTGTGTGTGTGTGTGTGTGTGTGTGTGTGTGAGAGAGAGAGAGAGAGAGAGAGTTTGCATCCACAATGAATGAATCATGTGGCATATTTGTTTTTGCGAGCGGTCATCTAATCTTCATAATAGAGTGAAGGCAGGCTCACGTTAAGAGTGTTTGAACTGAAGGCACCATGATGCAAAGAGTGTTTGAACTGAAGGCACCATGATGCTGATCAGATACATTCTACTGTGCATGTGCGCTGAAGAGTTCCACTGGTTGTCAGACTGTCACCACTACAGTGTAGCTGTGGCAATCCCCACAGAGATGTACCCTGTGCTTTGCTGTTTGTTCGGCATTGAGGCTGATGAGATGGGGTAACACATGAATGCATGCCCGTAAGGCAGGGGATCATTGACCGAGGTCTGCTTCTCTGTCGTCGGATAGAGTAGTGTGTCACGCAATGACACACATTTGATTCTAGTGAACTGACTCTGTTTTGTGGATTGGTTTCTGGGCAGGGTGGTGGCCTTCCCGTTGCTGCGGCGGGACAAGCTGGTGGGTTATCTGCTCTTCGAGGTGTTCCTGGAGCTGCTGCGTCGGCGTTGACCCCTTACGAACAGCAGCTGGTTTCGCAGCACCAACAGTATCAACAGTCACAGCTCAGGTTAGGGGTACATCAGCAGCAGCAAAGGCAGCAGCAGCAGCAGCAGCAGCAGCAACAACAACAACAACAACAACAACAACAACAGCAGCAGCAGCAGCAGCAGCAACAACAGCAGCAGCAGCAGCAGCAGAGCTCCCCAGTACAGCAGGCTCATTCAAACATGATGGTCAAGGAGGCTGGACAGAAGCAACAACCACCTGCGATGCAGCCCGCTGCGGATCCATTTGGTCTGCTTGGTCTTTTAAGTGTTATCCGAATGACAGATCCAGACTTAACAACGTTGGCATTAGGAACAGACTTGACTACGTTGGGGCTGAACCTTAATTCCAGAGAACAGTTGTATAAGACGTTTGCCTCACCATGGGCAGATGGGCCATTAAGGGAGCCTGAGTTTACTCTTCCAGCATGTTATGTGCAACCTGCCCCAAGGCTTCAGGTGAGTTCTTCCTGATATGCTGAACAGAATGGGTCCAGGTTCTGCTGATGTCCAAATTAGCCTACGATAACCTTGCAGACAGCGCACTCTTATGATCCCTCTTAACCCACTTTTTTTGTTTTTGTTTTTTAACTTTAACAGCTAAATGGAATTTGAGAGAGAGAGAGGTCAACTGTTGCAGGTAAAAGTTAATTGCACCTGCGGGAATAGTGGCTGAGTCAATGCAAAGTCGATGGTAATTATCTTTTTTGGTTTGGAACGAGTTCAGGGGATGCAGAGGCGGGCAGCACACACTTCAATCGTTGACCGAAGCACCTTCCTCCCCAATCTGTCCTCCTGCAATATCTAAGCTGTGTTCTCCCACCTCAGATGCGCTTGATGCCACATTCCTCGTCTCGTCCCTCCCACCTGCCACATCTTTCCCGAAGTCAAATATAATAATGGATGGATAGGGAAAATGTAGGAAAGGTTATAAGGAGAACAGCTGTTAGCACAAGTCCCTTGCCTCTGCCTCTGCCTATGTGCATAGAGGGGAACAAGTTTAGAGGGCATTCCGCACCTGCCCATCCTTGTCCCTGCCCAATGCCAGCTTGCTTTTGTGCAATTCCCCTTGTAGTGCAACTCGAGGGATTACATTGAGGGGCCTTTTCGATGCAAGGTTAGAGAGCATTCCCTATGTGTCCATCCTTGTCCCTACCCAATGCCAGCTTACTTTTGTGCAAGTACCCTATTAGTGCAATTAGAGGGGTCACATTGAGGGGTCTTGCGGTTGCCTGCGGGCTGCCAATGCCCTTTTGTTGGGTTTGGGTGGGTGGAACTGTGGTCCCCTCTATGGTTGCTTGTGTTCTCTTGTCTCTGTGCCCTTGCCCCGTCAGAGAGTTACCAGTGGAGCAATGGAATATGGATCCTGTCTACCTTCCAGATAAGCCAAGTGTCTTTTGTGGAACTTGTAATTTACGGCAAAAGGTGGTTGGGGACATCGTGCAAGCTTCCAATTTCATTTTCCTGTTTGGTCTATATTGTCATGGAGTACAGTGTTGGCTGCAGTGTATGTAACCTTGCATCTTTTTGTGCACTTGCTGTTTCATTTGGCATCAGTCAAACTGGAACATCGTTCTGGTGGCATTTGCTGATTGCATCTTGTGGATGGTGGTGTTTGATAATGTACGCGTACTTGCAGCCTGGATATTTTATGAAGTTTCAGCAGGAAACGCTCTTTTACATCTTCTACAGGTACGTGTTGCTGTCATTCATTATGACGGAAGAATGTGATGTCTCAAGTGCAAATAAGTTCAGAAAATGTTAACTGTAATCCCAAACATCCATGGTCTGGCATCTTGCCTGCAGCTGACTAGCTTAAACCATCGGTTCACGCAAACCTAAGTGGACAAAGCTGCCTTCCAAGGCCCGCTAGCCTGCAAGTGCGCCTCTTTGAAGTGGCCTGCCGCTTTTGCCACCAGCCAAGGCCGGAATCGAAATGCTCTCGCCACGTATACAGGTAAGAGCACTTCTTAGGGTTGTGTGAACTGGTGGTTCAACCCATGGCAAACGGGAAAAGATAAATGCTTATTGACTGTGTGAAAGAAACACATAGCACAATACTTTTCTACTGGGCACTGGTGGTTTAACCTCTCGGCAAATGGGAAAAGATAAATGCTTATGGACTGTGCGAAAGAAACACATAGAACAGGACTTTTCAACTGGGCAAGCTAGGGAAATATGAATGACTGTTGAATGCACGCAACACATAGAACAGGGCTTTTCTACTGGGCAAGCTAGGGAAATATGAACGACTGTTGAATGCACGAACACTGTTGTTAGCGAGATGGACGTGGATGGAGGAATGGATAGAGGTAGGGAAACAAAAAAGGAAGAGAGAGAGAGAGAGAGAGGAACAAAAGAGGTGAGCTCTTTGTCCACCTCTTTCTTTCTCTACTCTTTGCTTCCTTCTTGTCTGGTATCGCTTATCATTCTCTCGTATCTCTTCTCCTATCTTTTTCCCTCTTATCATCTCTTCTTTTACGTTTGTCCTGCTTCTTCGGTGAGGTGGAGGAAGGTTTGTTGTGTGGCAGTAGGCATGGGGGGAAGAGCCGGGGAAAGAATGTGGGGAAAAGTGGGGAAAGGAGGGTGGATAGAACCGTCGAAAGCATGAGTTGTTGGGGGGGGGAAGGAAATGGGGTGTGTTTCAAGCATTGCAATAGGAATGGGGGTGTAGAGGGTGGGCAGTGCCAAGCACCAGTTGGAACGTGCACGGGTTGTGAGGGGGGGTAAGGGAGTGTTGTTTAAAGCATCACAATAGGAGTGGGATGAGTAGGGGCTGAGCAGTGCTCAGCACGTGTGAGGCTGGGTTTACCTGTTGCCTCTGCAGTGTGCTGACCTCGCTGTCCTGCGTAGGCCTGTGTGATGACACATGCACACACACGTCCCTCTATTTGTTTCCTTATAGATTCACAAAACTTTCCTTTTTCTTATAGTGTACAGACACACATGCACACACACTTCTCAAGTAATTGTGTGCCGACACACATGCACACACACTTCCCTAGATTGAGAAAACTAAATAATATCTGTGCAAGTGTACCGCTTTGGAGGAAGACGGGTGTGTGAGCACTTCCCGCTCAACGACACAAACATGGGTAACCTTGCATCTTCTATTATATTGCCCACCTATACTTTTTTTTGTTTTATGGAGGGTCTGTAATGGTTTGTGGATGGGATGAGAGAGAGTTTTTTTTTTTTTTTACAACAGACACACACTTGCACACACGCACACACACTCGCGCTTGGAAACAGATGCACATTCACTCGCAAACACACTCGCTCAACCACTTGCACACACAAGAGAGAGTTTGTTTTTTTTGACAACACACACACTTGCACACATGCACACACACACTTGGAAACAGATGAACATACTCTTGCAAACACACTCTCGCTCAACCACTTGCACGCGCATTAAAACTTTCAAACACACGCTTGCACACATGCAAGCGCTCGCGCGCGCACGCACACACACACACACACACACACACACACACACAGAGGTGCAGAGTGCAGAAATAGGAGCTCCCTGTGCAGTTGAGCCTTTTTCTGTGCTGCATCCAGTACTCTTTTTGGGAGTTATCCAGTGTACATACAGCCTCGTAGCCATGCCTTCGGTAAATATCATCATGGGATGGTCATTTGCTTGGGCTGCAACATTTGTGCTGCTGCTGCTGCTGCTGCTGTGTGTGTCTCTGTGTGTGTGTGGGGGGGGAGAGAGAGAGAGAGAGAGTTCTTTTGCTGTTAGGTGTAAAGGAACCTGCAGATGGAGTAAGAGAGGGAGGCAGAGAGAGAGTCAGATGGAGGGACGTACACGTTTTTCCCCGGTGTAAGGAATTCCTGCACATGGAGTACGAGAGCGAGGCAGCGATAGAGTCAGACGGAGGGAGACCGTACATGTTTTTCCCCTTCACAATGATATTGGCGAGGGAACAAGAGGGAGAGGCAAGGGGGGGAGTGTGTTTTTCCGTAAGAGGTTTAGCGTATCCCGCACATAGGCCGAGAGAGAGAGACGATGGTGTTTTTCTCATTCCGTGCAACACATTCCCTTGGCGGGGAGAGGGAGAGACGATGGTGTTTTTCTCATTCCGTGCAACACATTCCCTTGGCGGGGAGAGGCGGTTAATGGAGACCTCAATTTTCAGACTTCTCATGGCATTTATAACAAATCGCAAGGGCCATTTTAACCAAACTTGCCACCAATTCATCTAAGGGAGATCATACTAACTACTTGCCAAAATAAAACAGCAAGGCAAAAGTGCACTCTCATGAAATTTTGCCAACATTCAAAATTCAGAAATCTTGAGAAATTTCAGAAATCTCATCAGAGTGCAAATGATGCCAAATTTGGCACACAACAACCTTGAACCAAAACAAAAACAGGGAAAAAAAAAACCCATAACATTTGACCCCCAAGCCCTAATTTCAGTTCTGAACAGTGCAATGGGGTGGTAGAGAAAGAGATGAGGGTTCAGTGGGTGAGGGGGAGGGAAGAGGGGAGCGAGACAGAGAGGTCCCATCTGCTTTTCTCTCGCATTTTGATTTTCGTGCGTGTGCGAACTTCTGAAGTGGCAACAGGTAATCTAGTTTTTTTCTTCTTCAGGAATGCTTGTTTGTCATCCACCCAGCAAATGGGCCTACCACTGGGATTTGTGAATGGTGCTGACCTATTGATACAGTATATTTCACTGATTGTTGTGCCTGGGTCTGATTTGGTTACTATCTGATGCATGGAGTCCCTGATCCCCTTGTTCTTCAGGGCCTGGTTCTGTTTTGAGGATGATAATGAGGGAAGTGCATCCATATTTTGCCGCCTTGGCATTAAGGCAGTTGTCTTTGTAAGAGAGTGGGTAATATCTTGATCCTCATGGCCATGGGAGAGAAGGCTGCGAAGGACGTAATGACAGGGTCATGATGATATGCTCCCTTCTCATTGTCTCTGGCTTCTGTGATGGCTTCATGTTGTATTGCTGTTTGATGATAGTTCTATCTGCCTATTGTCGCGGACTCATTCAGCTGCTAACCTCTTAATTATTTAGGAGTCTACAATGACTCTACATTGTAGGCCAGTCTGGGGTGATGGCGGATCTCTTTACTTGTCTTTTGAGGTCGGTCAGGTATGACAACCAGTCTCTTCACTAGTGCTGACCGACATTCAGATTGATTGTCTTGGTATATGTATATATATTTCTGTTTGACGACATATATGTATATATAAACAAGTTGAAAAATACAAGTATACATATTGGCTGTGTTGGTCTTGTTTCCTCGCCTCTTATGTTGTGGCAATGACGTTTGTTTGTTTCTCGTGCAGCATGCCTAACGATGAAGCTCAGCTTTATGCTGCAGAAGAACTGTAAGTGCTGTCTGCTGTCAGCAGTCCTTTGTTCTGGAATGGACTTTTTTTTTTCCTCTTCTCTGTATCGTTCCAATTTTAACAGATGTCCCGAAGGACGTGGAATGGACTTTTTAAATTTGAGAAGTTTGTTAGTTTTTTTTACTGCGTGATGAAGTCCATGGGTGTTCTGCACGCTGCAATGGGTACTGAGCCATCAACAGAGCACAGGGTTCAGGTACACCTATTAATATAGCCAATATCAAGGATTTATACAGGCTGACCTATTCATATAGTCAATGTCAATGGAGTATGTAGGGCTTCTTGAGTGTTTTTTTTTTCTTTTCTTTTCTTTTCTTAAATAATTGGACAATTTCTCGATTTATGCGTGTCATCCTTGCGCAGGGGCCATGTTAATCTCCTCTGTGTCGTTCCAATTTTAACGGATGTCCTGAAGGATGGCTTCTCGAGTTTCTACCATACTTGTGGTGCATTTGTGTGCTGTGCCATGCGCACATGGCTGGTGCGCGCGCACTGCGCGCATGGCGCATAGGTGCGCTATATGCGCATGCACGCGCTACTCATGCGCCGTGCGCTGATGCGCGCGCACCTGCAGGCCATGCACTAGGGTGGTGCGCCAGATGTGCTGCATTTTTTTTTTAATTATTATTGGGTGCTTCCACCACCTGTTTGAACTTCGACTGATCAGAAAGGTTCCCTCTCTCTCTCTCTCTATCTATCTAGCAAACAATTTAAACGTTCTTAGAAATTTCAACAAACAAAAAATGGTGGTCAGCCGTCCCTCCTTGTCATCTCTCTCTCTCTCTTCATGTCGTCAATGAGCTGCTTCAGCAGAGCGGCCGCCACTGTCACCTGCATCACCGAGAAGGCCACAACAGCAAATGGTGGTCAGCCCCTGGAAGGAAAACCCTCTCCCCTCATCCAGATCCACCACTCTCTCCTGTAATCCCCCTCGGCTATGCAACAATCCAGTGGGCATTAAAAAAAAAAAAAAAAAAAATGACGAGCAAATTAAACTGTGGAAACAACATTCCAAAAAGGAGTAGGGAAAAAAACTGCAAATGCCAAATTGAGATATGTAGTTTGGAACGCATGGCAACTAGGAGAGATGGAGCGAGAGAGAGGGAAGGAGGAGGAGGGACAGATGGATGAAGAAGAAGGGAGAAAGGAGGGAGAAAGTGAGGAGGGAGAGATAGAGGAAGAAGAAGGGAGGAAGGAGGGAGAAGGAAAGGGAGGAGGAAAGAGGGAGTAGCGAGTCGACATCTGGAGGGAGAAAGGGAGGAAGGAGGAAAGGAGGGAGAAAGGGAGAAAGGAGAGGTAGAGATAGATGACGAAAGAGGGGAGAGGAGGAGGGAGGAAGGAGGAGGGAGAGATGGACGAGGAAGAAGGGAGAGAGGAGGAAGTGGGAGGGAGAAAAGGAGGAAGAGTGGGCAGCGAGTCGAGTCAGTCGATGCGTGCACGATGGGAGGGGTGGAGGTGTCGCGCGAAGTGAAAGGCCCTGCCGCTAACGTAACAAGGGCAAAAAAAAAAAGGTGATTGGATAGTGAAGTGTTCGAAGGACAGATGGATGGAGAGAGAGGGAGGAAGGAGGAGGGACAGATGGATGAATAAGAAGGGAGAAAGGTGGAGGGAGGAAGGGAGGAGATGGATGAAGAAGAAGGGAGGAAGAAAGAGGGAGAAAGGGAGGAGGAAGGAGGAGGGACAGATGGATGAATAAGAAGGGAGAAAGGTGGAGAGAGGAAGGGAGGAGATGGACGAAGAAGGGAGGAAGAAAGAGGGAGAAAAGGAGGAAAGAGGGAGCAGCGAGTCCAAATGTGGGAGAAAGGGAGGAGGAAAGAGGAGGGAGAAGTGAGGTCCTGCGTGGAGGAGGGAGAAAGTGAGGAAGGAGAGAGGTACAGATAGATGACGAAAGAGGGGAGAGGAGGAGGGAGAGATGGACGAGGAAGAAGGGAGGAAGGAGGGAGAAAGGAAGGAGGAAAGAGGGGGCAGCGAGTCGAGTCAGTTGACGCGTGGGAGGGGTGGAGGTGCCGTGCGGAGTGAAAGGCCCTGTCGCTAATGTAACAAGGGCAAAAAAAAAAAAAAAAGGTGATTGGATGGTGAAGTGTTCGAAGGACAGAGACAGGAGAAGGGAAGAGCGAATATGTATAGATAGATAGATAGATAGATAGATAGAGAGAGAGAGAGAGAGAGGAGGGAGAAAGGGAGGAAGGAGGAGGGAGAAAGGAAGGAGGAAAGAGGGGGCAGCGAGTTGAGTCAGTCGACACGTGGAGGATGGGAAGGGTGGAGGTGCCGTGCGGAGTGAAAGGCCCTGTCGCTAACGTAACAAGGGCCAAAAAAAAAAAAGGATGGTGAAGTCTTTGAAGGACAGAGACAGGAGGAGATAGATAGATAGATAGATAGAGAGAGAGAGAGAGAGAGCTGGTGGCAACCCACCTCAAGCGGCTCGGTGATTCCTCTTCGCTCCCGCTGCCTGCTGCAGCTGCCTCCTGCTGTGTGCTGCTGCCTCCCGCCGCCTCCTGTTTCTTGCTTGGGCTTGTGCTGCTGGTGACTGGCGGGCACAGCCGACGACGAACGACGATGAAAATGGACCACACGACGGCCGCCAAGGAGACAAGGCACAACTGGCAGGTCGGTGAAGTGCCAGGGTGCCCAACGGGGGTGTGAGGGAGGCCTTAGTAGTTGGCCAGGTCTCCCCCCAAAATTTTTAGCGGGCCTCCTCGCGGCCCAAAAAAAAAAAATTCACGCCCACGGAGGCAATTTCCCCCAGTACCCCTCAGGGCCTCCCACGCCCGTCCCGAACTTCTTTTGTTTTTTCTCACGACCCCTGTTATGGCCGATGCGCCGCATGCCGTCCGTGCGCCGGCTGTGCTCTGCGCCGCGACGCGGCGCACGACATGTGCCGCAAGTATGGTTTCTACAAAGTTTTTAGAGTTTGATAAAAATGATTTGATTACTCGGTTCTTAGATTTTCATCATTTTCTGTATAGAAGATTTTATAACTTTCTTTTTCTTTTTCTTTACAAAATGCTTCTATTATACAATTCTTATGAAGATGATCAAGAGGTTTACAGAAAAGTAAAGAAAATGATGGTGCATGGAGTAGGGTTAGAGTGCAAATTTTACGTGTGTGCTATATTATACCAGACGACTGAGGACGACGATGGTGACACATATCTTTGACTCCTTCGCACCTTGTCACACATTCGAGCGTTTTCCAGGTTGGTTGTGTATGATAGTAATTTCCCCCCTGCTTCTAGTCTCTGTCCGGAAATTTGTCTTTTCTTGAGTGGCAGTAAGTGTGAGGATTCGGCTCCTCGGCAGGCCTAGGCCCTAAGGGGCCCATTTTGCATGTGTGCCCGCCCTAAGTGAAGGCGGGCCCATTGTTGTCTATTTCGCATTTTCAGCAGTATGCACGACAGGCAGTTGGGAGGCGTAACCAAACGGGGCCCAGGGCAGTAGCAGCAGAGGCCCAGCTATGGAGGGCCTACCGGAAGCTTCTGGGCATTGGCCCAGCCCAGCCAGGCGGCACACCAGGCCAGACACCTTCCATATAGGAAAGTGCCTGCTGCCTGGCCAGGCATTGGGCCATTTGTGCGGCAGTGCTGCTTGAGCCTGCACTCGCGTGCTGTAGGCTGCGCTAGGCAAGGTGTTCGTGCACGTGTGGTCGTGTGAGTAGGGCACTGCTGAGGGCAGTGCCATAGCCCGTCTTCCATAGACGGCTGAGCTTAGGTGTACAGCAAGGTGTAGTGGTGGTGCTCGTGTAAGAGGAAGGAGACGTGGGTGAAAGACAAGAGAGAGAGAGAGAGAGAGAGAGAGGAGGAGGATGACGTGAGGGCACATACCTGGTCTTGGCGATAGTTTGCATGGGTCGACATCTTCATGTACTCTGGTTCTGCTGCTGACGTCAACAAGTGCATTGCCAATTCGGAGGTTGGAAGTAGCTACGTGATAGTAGTCTGGGAGTTGAGCGCCAAGTAGGGGAAGGACTCTGGACACTTATGTTGGTGATGGCGAGGCGAGAGTATGCTCTCATTGACACTTGGATTCAGTGTTCTGGTTCTTCATTGGTGTAATATCTGTGCATTTCTGCTTTCTGGACATTGCGAGACTTCTTGGCTTTCAATGCGATTTTGCAATCTGAAATCCGCCATCTCGCTATCGCTCATTTTCCTTGCAATTTGGTATCGGAGCTGGTTCAAAGTACACTTGCTGGTTCTTCGCAATAGCTGTTCGGTGCTTCGCTTGTGATGGTGGGGCTGTGATAACGCTTGTGCGTTGAATGTGGGGCGGCCCAGGGTCATGTGGGCGTGCCAGGAAGGCTATGTGGTGACATTGGGGTGTACGCTGGATGATGAGAACTTGCTGATGTGGTGTTTAACCCGAGGTGGAACTGAATTTTGCTGTTTGTTGTGCCAAGTAAAAGACCTGTCATCATAAATGCACGTCAGGTTGCTGGTGAGAAGTCTGTGGTTGGGTGCAGCATTATGAGGTACGTTGCTCTCATCCGTGTCTACCCTCTTCATTGCTTCCTACCATGAGGAAGTGAGTTCTGTCTTGAGAGTCCTCTCGATGTGAGCTGTCACGAGCGCTCAACCTTGAGAGTCGACATTCTTTCTGGGCAGCAAGCTGGTGGGAGACGGGTGAAGCCTCTGAAAGGCCTTGGATGAAGCACTCGGGTCACGGTCAACCCGCTGGGACTAGTACACGTTTTTTGCCACAAGTCCTTGGTTCTGCTTGCTGCGCTGATAGAGATCATGCTGGGCATGCCAGGCCTATAAGAGACGCATACCAGACCGTGTATTAATATTTTGAGCGGATTTGAATTGAATCCTGGCTGTGATCGTAGTCCTGTCTGTGGTGTTAAATACTTCCTGAGGACCTTGGGGGCTGTACTTAAACTGCCTCTTGATCAGCCAGATCAATTGGATGTAAGGCTTGTTGCATGCAAGGATAAAGAAAATGCAGGGCTGGCAGGCTTAGTAAAGGCTTGGGGCACAGGG